ATATATATATAGATATATATATATATATATATATATTAATTATTTCTTTATGCTGTCTAAGACTTCGCATCTATGAACTAACTGTAATTTTTATGTAACTTTTCTTTGGGGGATGTGCAGAAGGGTGCTTTCAGTGTTGCTGCAAAGACAAATGCACCAGTTGTTCCAATCACCCTTATTGGAACTGGTCAAATCATGCCTGCGGGAAAGGAGGGTATAGTAAACGTAGGTTCTGTGAAAGTGGTTATACATAAACCTCTTGATGGAAAGGATCCTGACTTGTTATGCAAAGAGGCTAGAAAGACAATCGCAAGTGTGCTGACTCAAAGCTGAGAAAAATACTGCAAAAGAGTTCTTTTAATTTTTATTGCATGAGACTCGAATCCCCCTCTGCCTTGAAATGAACTCGGAAGGTAAATAATCAAATGCTTGCGTCATCCTTGATTATGGAATACGGATCATTAGTATCTTGTAGCAAGTCAATTTCGGTATTTTGTATAGGTGATTGACCATGGTCTGATATGTACATTATCTATTTTGGTTTATTTGTTATATTCATCATTTGTTTTTAGCTATAAGATTACAAATTTGGTTTTCTCTTTAGGGGACATTTCTGGGATGAATTATCTTGTTTATACTGAACATTTGGTTACTTCCTGTGGTGCAGTCATGCTTTGCTTAGGTGGGACTATCTTGATTCATGCTGGAGCACCTGGCGTTTTTGTTTAAGATAAAAAAGGGTTGGGGGGCTTCGTTATACTTGTATACCAGAGGAATTATAGGTGTCAGAAGTGGTGATGCTTCAGTTTGAAGTTGTTTCACACTTTTATGAGGAGATTTTACTTGTGAAGTAATTTACAGCTCGTACAATTCTGCCTCAGAATGACGAAACAGTAATGTTATCCAATACTAGTATAACTTGGTCAAAAGTTACGAGGGAAAACTAAAACATGATGACTTTGTTAATTGTTTTCGGGATCTTCAATTTCCAAAGCCATTTAAAAGAGGAACCTGTCGAGTTCTGCCTAAAGTACTGACTTGAGCTTAGCATGTTAGCCATGGATAAGTTGAAGCTACAAAATAAACTCCCATTAGATGAGGGGCTCCAAATCCACATATCATGCATAGTAGGAACGAGATTGTAATAACTCCACGAAGTTGGAAGGTATTATCATATGAATTATTTAAGAGTACACACTCAAATTAATCCTTGAATTTTGAATGGATTGTTATATTAGTTCCTGAAATTAACAAATTGTTAAATGTTTCTTAAAATGCAAATTCACAAACATAAAATAATATTATTAATATATGTTTAAGAATTAAAATGATACTAAATAATTAAATTTAATGACTTGTTTGACACTCATAAAATTATTTGACAATTTATTAATTTCTCTATATATCAACTACTAATGTGGATGATATCCTTCAGGCGTAAGTTGACATCATGAATGAAGACAAAAGTCACATGTCAACTAAAGGGGGCTATCGCCATTTCATACGAAACTTAAAGCCATCATTCACAAAGTTCCGTTTTAGCTTAGATGATGCCATGCCATGTGTAAGTAGCGCCTGCAACACATTTGACACTTGGAATAGGGGAGTTAGACAACTACTTAACATGGATCCATAATATCAATGTCAAGCGTGAATTACACATCCCAACCACCTTCATGTTTTGGAGATGAGAGGCTTTCACAATTTTGACCAGACTGAAACCCGTTTTCCCCCGAAGACCATAAAAAGATTAATACTCTTATTAGTCTCTTATAATATTTTTTTTGTTTCAATTTAGTCTCACTTTAATTTTTAGTTTCAAATCATCCTATCAATGTCATTATGATAAATGAAGTAGCCAAAAAAAAAAAAAAAAAGAAGCATGGTGTACATTGGAAGAGACGAGAGTGCCAAATTAATGAGACACAATCTTCTCGCTCTATCAAGTAACCTTCCCTTCCATGATGTAAAATGTATTTTTCTCCATAACAAAAGAAAAGGAGTCATTAGTAACATGCCCTTTCAAAAGAGGAAACTGAGATACCTCCCTATAATCTAGGTCATGAATATCTTTGATAACAAAAATGGAGTGGAACTTTTGTTTAATGTCTCTACTAACACCCTTGAAGCACGTGAACTTTGGCTTGAGGAAATTAATTTTTAAACTAGACTCCATGCAAGAAGTCTCCTCTTGAGATTTTTTACAATGCACTTGGTGGGATGAATTTAAAAGAAATTCTCACAGAAGGGGTGGATTAGGGAGTATATTCTTAAGTTTAGCAGAAAACACATAGAAGAGGGGGTTGAATATGTGTGAACGAAGGATTTTTTAAAAACGTTTTTCGCAAAGGGACTTCTTTTCATCTGAAAATGATATTTCAAGCACTTAAAGATTGTGCAAGATTAGTTAAAAGAAATTATGCGTCTGAAGATCTATCGTCTACTAAAAAATGGTATCTTAAAGATTGTGTCTAGGTATATAAGTTAAATTAACCTCATAACAAGTCAAATTGAGAAGCATAACTTTCTTAGCACGCCATGCGTGATAATTATTGCAATGCTTCTTCACATACCCTACAGCTCCACGAAAGAAATAACCATTGCCTTCATATTCATTTGATTTCTTTTACTCTTATACTTTAAGGTAGAGGCAATATGAGCACTTTCTATCTTATCTAGCTTAATCTTTCCTCTTCCTTAACACAATGTGGGATGAGCTCATTTAGAGACCAAGTCTCTTTCTGACAATTATAGCGCACCTTAAACTAACCAAATTGTGTTGGAAGAGAAATCATAACTAAATGCACCAACAAGTCTTTAGAGAGTCCTAGCTTAAGTGCTTTTAGTTTTGAAGCAATATGAGACATCTCCATGATGTACTCTAATGTTGCTCTTACTCGTATACTTCTTTGAAATTAGGTTTGTTAAGAGTGTACCTATCTCAGACTTTTCATTCTTAACAAACATCTTTTCAATTTCTACAAGGAACTCTTTAATTGTATTTATATTTTCAGATATTGTTTCTCAGAATGTTTCTGGAATGGTTGTGTTTATGATCATTAGACTCATGCGATTTGACTTCTCCCACACATTTTTATTTCCCTTTTTATTTTCAAAGGTACTCATATCCTTAAGAGGTGGGGGTGAGTCTATCCTTAATGCAAGGTCAATATCCATTACTATAAGAACTATTAAGATATTATCTTTCTATAACTTGAAGTTTGAGCCATTTAATACAGGAATAGAGTTGACATTAGTAGTAATATTGGCAGGATCATTCATAACTAAATTGAGAACAACAAACAAAATACACTCATATAAGTCTCAAAAAAATAAATATTAAATTCAAATACAAATAAATCCCATTTCAAGATATTGGTAATACATTAACATTTTATCTTTGGATAAAATTTTAACTATTCAATGATACCTGACATGGTAATAAAATGCTAATAATAATAACATGTCAAATAATAAGCCTTCCTGTTGGCTAATTTAATACTTACACGCAAAAATTAAAGAATTATTACGCATTTATCACCATAAATACACATGTTATTATGTAAAATACTAACCTTCCTTTAGATCGACTAGTATTCACATAATTTACTAGATCATAACCTTTTATATTATAAAATAAATTAATTTTCAAAAGAGAAATCACTTTAGTAACATATTGTTTCAATTAATTAATCCTAATATAGATATATAACTGCTTTTAATATTTGAATTTAATTAATTTTTTAACAAATGCAAATTATAACATATAATAATTGTAAATATTATAAATCTGAAAAAAAATAGTTATTCCCTTTCATTTGCATATAATATTATTACCGTGTGTATATATATAATTAAATTAATTATAAAATCAATTATTATTACAATAATATAAACATATAAAATCAAATGAATTCTGAATTTAATATGTAATTAATATATTAAACGTTAGACATAATATGTAGTTAATGTATCCAATTAAAACAAAATGAATTCTCAATTTAAAATCACTGAACTTAAATTAAAAACAACAACAATAACAATTAATAACTATAACAAAAAGAATCTAAAGAATGACCAAAACAATATAATCAGTAGCAAATCAACACATTCATAGCAGCCATTAGTAGCAAATCAAATATATTATAGAAATAAATATTTTCTACTAATAAAATGAATAAGATTTTAATATTATTACAAAATGAATAGAATATTCAAATAATTATATAAATGACCTTTCTCTATATGAAACACATGTTATCAACAAATGAATAAAATCAAAATCTTAAAAAAGAAACTATGATATTGCAAGACGAAACACATGTTCCAAATTTCATAAAAGAATTTTAAAAAACTAAATCATCAAACAAATTATAAGATCCTTTTCTCCTCACTATAATATTTAGAAGATACATATATTGGATTTTCTTTTAACTAAAAATGTATGGTAAATTTATATATAATACTATAATGAAGAAACATACCCAAAATATTCTTAATGATCAAACATGATAAACAACTCTCATACCAATTGTTAAAACCAAACTTAAGCCTTTGATAAAAACTCTCATCTATATAAAATACAAAATTTATCATGTTAAACATTAGAAACAATAAGCGAAATCATACTTAAACTCAATGATGTCACATGCATTTTGGTTTCCACGCCCAACGAGCCCAAGATAGAACCTAGTGCGATATTGATAATTTTGTTTTGTAAAATTTTCTATTCACTCACATAAAAAGTCTCACAACTTACATGAATTCATGTTAAAAGAAGGTTTCTATGTTCTAATTAATTTTCTATTAATATAATTGATTATTACTTACAATTGTTTTTTCTAATAATTGACTATTTATATTTATATATTTATATATATGTAGAACCATGAGACCCCACAAAGAACAACAAAGGCATTGAAAACGAATCATCAAATCAAAGGAATTATTTTATTTTATTTTTTAACCTTAAAACCAATTTGGGATTAATTGTAGGAAATTCAATATTGGATCATCTGCAATCACACCATTAGAATTTCTCTTATTATATGCGAATTTTATATAAAAATTTGTTCCTACGAAATTTTCTACGAAATTTTTTTCCAAGTAATACTTTCATAGATAATATGTTTTTGCGAATTTTAAAATTTGCAAGAAATTTTCCTGTGAAATTTCTTGCAAAAAATATTCGCAGCAAGATTTCTCACGAGTTTCTTGCAAGAAATTTTACAGGAAAATTTCTTACTAAAAAATCAAAGAAATTATTGCAAAAAGTTTATTGTGAATTTAGGTAATTTTTGTGAAAATTCTATTAATAATTCTTCAACTTTCAAGTGTTCAGAATGAATTCATCTTTGTTTCCATGCCTCCAACCATACAAAATCAACTTGTAAGATGAGTATTATCCCAACTTATATACTATTTAATTGTTTTATTTATAATCGATGTGAGACTTGAGGTTTTCTTTAAATATTGATTAGATCATATCTTTAGAAAGAGAATTAATTTATTATATTGAATTACAAATTTATATTATTATAAATTATTTTAACTCTTAAAATATTCAATATTCTAAAAAATATTTTTTATTAAATAATTTTATTTTAAAAACTATCATTAAATTAAAACTTATCATCATTAATTTATACATTTAATTAAAATAAATATTTAATTTATTAATACTTTTAATTAAAATGAATTTTTATTAAATATCTATAAATAATTTAGTAAAATAATATTTTATCAAGTAAATACTTTTAATTTTAAAATATTATAAATTATCATTAAATTAAAACTCATTATCATTAATGTATCATATTTATAAAATTTTATATATTTAATTTAATTTAAATAAAAAATATTTATAATGATATATTTATAAATAACTTAGTAAAATAATACTTTTAAGTAAAAATTTTAATTTTTAAAAATATTTTAATTATTAAACTTATAAATTTTTAAAAAAATTATTTTCCTAAAAATTAAAATTGGTTGAAAAATTTGCAGGAAAAGTTATGTGCAAAATTTTTCTACCATTTAGTATACATTACTTATGAATTTATTTTTATAAGAAAATCTGCAAGAAACAAAATAAAATTCCTATAACATTTTATACAAATTTTTACTATAGAATTTTTTTTATGATCATTGAAATTGCAGCAAAATTTGTAAAAATTTATTGTAGATTATTTTTCATAAAAAAATTGTAAAAAATTCCTGTAAATTATTTTTTGCAAATAAATTTGTAAAAAAATAGTGAAATTATTATTACAAGAAAAATTAAAAAAAATATGCAAATATTTTTTTTTGTATAAAAACTTGCAAAAAAAAAAATGAGACTTTTCTAATAACATCGTATTCGCCACCAGCATGAACTCCGTATAGAAGCAATCATAAACACATACACACATTAATTATTATTGCCCAAAAAGTGGTAACGGAAAAGGGAAATATGGCAACCGGAAATGCTCAAATAATGTGTATAGCTGTAAACACGTAACAAAAGTGAAAAAAAAATACTCCCCTCAAAATTGGACTCGAAGTCCCTATCATCTGCATCACGTCACCTTCGGCTAAGGTTGGTGTACTTCATGTTTATAGTGCAACTGCTCTTCATACCCAATGCTGGATTGATAAATAAAGTTGTCGAGGTAATTTTTATGGATTATGATCCTTTAGATTCTTGTCTCATAGATGTTGAAAATACGAACTTATCTAAATTTATGTATAATATACCGTTTTGTAGGACTTATATGTAGACTTTCACACAAATCTCTTTAGATATAACAAGGATACAAAACTAAGTGCATATTTGTTTTATTCAATTCCCGAATTCTAAAGCATGTTGAACGAAATTTCTCTCTCACAATGTTTTGGC